TTAAGGTTGATTGTTACAAAGATGCCTTCAATTTTGACAAAATGTCACTTCCCAGAGCTATGTATATTATACAGTACAAAACTCTGTCTATTATAACTCCAGAATTTAAATTGTATATTTTATGAAATATTTACGTTTTATAAAATAATAAAATATAAAATTATTACAATTTTATAAAATATAAAATTGTTAAGGTTGATTATTACAAAGACGCCTTCAATTTTGACATTGAAATTTCTGTAAATACAGTGTGTACAATGTTACACGATGCACAACCGTTGTAATGAAAAAATTGGATTGTATGTTTCGTAGTATGTTATAAAACATATTGCAGATTTAGGCACCGTGCGTTTGTACAGTGTCGATTATTGCAATGGCGTCTTCGTTGTGCTTCCGTTCCTGCTCTATGGACGAGCAAACCTAGCTCATTTATCCTCGCGATTATAGTTAACCCTTCGTCGTCCGAGACGATGGTCACGCCAATCTAAAACAATAAAGCCGAGCACAAAACCGCGATCCTTGTTCTTTGAACAGAGCTCGGTCTCTCCGAGATGTTAAGCTAGTCCCATAGATCGTCTCGCAGACTGTTCTGAAAAATAACGTTGAAAAATCGGCAAGCTTTCTTATTGAGAGATTAATCAGAGTAGACGATACTCTCTGAATAATTGAAATTAACGTTCCTCGGGCTGCGGATGAAAGGATCTTGTACAGTGTTGCGAGGGAAATGTCCAATCGACACGCGAACACACGATTTTGTCTGTCATTATCGTGCCTTCGAAAATTGAAGTGTTGGGACGATCGCAGCCGATCCCGAAATCATGGGAAACAACGACAAACATTTCTATACCGCGGTTTCTTCGTCGACCGGTCGCCTGGTCCGTGGATCCGGGCAAAAATACGAGCTGTTGCCTGGAATTTAAGCGATCGAGTCACGCGATACGTAATCAACCTCGCACTTGGCTGTTTCACGAGCTTTTACTAACTCTGCCCGGCCTTTCCCTTTGTAAAGTGACTGTGAGAAATGATGGCGCGGGAAATGAGAAT